TTTCATTTTCTGCCATACCTCTGGTATTGGCAAATTTTGCTTCACAAGCGGAGTGTTATCCCCCCAAATGCAAGGCGGGGTAATCATTTCTGTATATGAGCTGAAAGTTGCTGCGAGCATAGCTGTGATGCCAACGGAGCCTGTGCTGTATTTTGCAGGAAGACCATGTCTTGGCATGAACCTGGACTATTGTGGTGAGCATTTTCCTATCAACTTAACCCTCTTTAACAGTTTTGAGTGTGACCCATACTCACACTCTGGACTTTTCTGGTTGTATAGGACAGCAAAGACAGTAGTGTGATACGGCCCGAGTCAGTGGACGTCTTGGAGGGTCAGTTTGGGGTCAGGTACATCTGCGAAGTGACTAGGAGTGTCTTGCACCAGGATTCTAGGCTGTCCATGATAGGCTACTTATGTGCTTAGTAACTGTCTGGCATGGTATGTGCTTAATATGGCCCGAAATGGCCCGTATGCTACAAGACTGCTACCATGACTGGGAGTAACGTGAAACGAACCAAGGCGGGAGCTACCGCGACTGGGGGCAATGTGAAATGGCACTACGGATGGGACCGGAAAAGGCATGGGTACCCCTGACCCTAAGTTTTTTCTGGGAAAGGCTAGAGGCTGAAAGAAAGGGGCTCGAAATTGTGGAACTGATTTCGACGTAATAAGGAACGTGGATACAGAAGCAGACCGGGATGGACCTGCGCACCACTGATCTACCGCGGATCTAGAAGCAGACAGGGATATTGGACCTGCACACCACGGATCTGCGAATAGAGACAGCCACGACGATAACTACACGTCAAGGACGAAGAACTGGAGCATGGATCGCGATATGCACCACCAGGCGACCGCAAGGAATTGGAGTAGACGCTGTCGTACTTACTCTCACCAGGATGAAGCAGCTTTCCTGCTCTCTGCAACTCTTGACTTGAAGCGGAATGCGAGTTTTGCATCGTCGATTTGATTTTAATTTATCATTATTTTTTTTTTTTTTGGGACTAGTATCATTTTTCAATCGAGGAAACATGGAAACACGAAGTACCCGAGGCATAGCGTGGAGATAAGAGTATATATATCAAGAGGAGCGCACACTCTTAGACAGACTGAGTAGAGTGAGGTAGAAGGTCTGTTGTACACACGAGGTGTGCAGTGGCAATGTGGTGACTCTGCGAGATGTAAAACCTCTACTACATTGTTATTGAGTTTGTATCTATGTGCTTAATAACTGCCGGCATGTTGTTAGTGGATGCAGGGTAAGACAAGATGCAAGATAGGATACGTTAATTAGCAAATTAGCTCCCTGTCACGTTATGTACTTAAACCACCAGTACTTGACCCAGCTATCGGCCGCGGAAAGAAATAGAGTAGAAATGTTTCTAGTCGGATGAATTTCGGCGCTCCTGTAGTAGCCCGTACGTTTCCAAAAATCGTGGCGTGTTAATGGGCGTGTTAATGGGCACGACTCTAGGAAGTACTGGTGGTTTAATAACTGTCTGCATGTTGCTAGTGGATGTAGAGTAACACAAGAAGCATTGTAGGAAAAGAGTGTTGATGCCAACCAACGCAAGACCTATGGCAAATCTTTTGATATCAAGTTTATGCAGCAGCTGTTGTTGATGAGACGGAAAAGAGAATGCCTTTCAGCAAAAAGATCTTTTCGTAAGGGTATAAGTGAGTTAGCCGCAGTTTGGTGCACTGAGATTGGGATTGAATCGTAATTCACGCGAGGGCCAGACAATGGCCTTGGCAATGCGTGGAAGGAGCAAGCGCTTCGACCTGCATCGGTGCAAGGCAAATAAGATGCTAGGCCATGAGATTCTGATTGTAGAGATGATGTAGGTATTTTAACCTAGGAAGGTTGTCAAACCCGCCGGGGTGTTAAGTTCAGGGGTCCTGCTGTGCAGGTCACCCGGATATTTAAGAAGTTCAGGATTGTGTTATTTATTTATTTTTTGCGGTGGGTGTTTCTGTGCTTGTTAAGAGCACAGCCCAAATCTGGGCTTGTTGGTTGTTCATTGAAGGGGGGGGGAAGGAGGGTGTAAATGGGGTTTGAAAGGGCTTGAAGGCGCTTAAAAGGGGAAGAACCTGGTTTGATCTCTTATTATGCTACTTACTACTAATGCGAAAAGTCGTCCTCACTTGACACTTTTCGTGGGCCCAGGGAAATTCGTGAGGGGAGGTTGTACCCGCAGGCCGGGGCATGGTTGGGAAGTTTTGGCTCTGTGGGGTGCCACTTTGGTTTTGTTGGTTGGCGCATGTTCAAATACCTGGCAATTGTTCTGCGTTTTGTGTTCACATTGTTCCCAGTTGGCCTTTGCGCCTCACATGCTCGAATGCCTTTGGAAAAATTGTGTCATATGCTGTCTGTGTTCGAATACGAGTACATAGTAGTGTCCCGATATCTGGCCAGCGGGTCTCACAATTTCGCCGTCTGCTCCACTCAGCTGTATCTTTCCAAGTTGTGGTGGAGGACTTATTCTCATTTTGCATATTTAGTGAGTGATGACCATGTCTTCAGTTGGCCTCCCGTTTCCCTTTTTACCCCCTTGCCCGCTGTGTCGGGGTCGGTGCATCTCTCTCTCTCTCTCTCTCTCTCTCTCTCTCTCTCTCTCTCTCTCTCTGTGTGGACGAAGTGGCAACTGAGTGGCAGTCGACAGGGAGAGGAACACAAAAAGGACGACAAACAGCAACAGCGAATCATTCGTCGGCAGGCACCGGTGGGCAATCTGCCACTGTAGGGCAGAGATCTTGGCCAGCCTCATCCTATACTCCCCGAACCACTTCATGGGCTTGGGAAGGCCAATATCTACGTTAAGATGACGTTGCCATCTGTCCTCTACCACGCCCTGCAGCCTGCGCCTAGGTCTGAGCATACGGTATACCAATTTGGTCTTCAGAGTAGCTAGTGCTACCGGCCTCGCATTCCCGCCCCCCGTCTTGAATTTATCGGGCCTTTCCAAAACCACCGTCACTCATCGAGGTCAAAGGGGACATCCGCAATCAGGGTCATTGGTCTGTAAGCCCTCCAACCCCTCTCCTCGTCAATCGCTCGAATGCAGTAAACATCCCCATTCTCCTTCCAAATGAAAGGCTGCCGGCTCCCTCGTAGCCATCCATTCCTCTCAATGGAGAAACACTTGATCAGCACTTCCGCTCGGCCCACCAAGTGCACTTCCGCTCGGCCCACCAACGGCTATGGCCACCAGTGCTCTCCAATGTGGTGTCTCTCTGTCCCTCTCTCTACCTATCTTACCCTCAGGCTCTCACTTGCTGCTTGACCGCATAAGATTTTTTATTTTTTTTTGGGAAGACCGCATAAGACTGCAATAGTGCTTCTGCAACAGTGACAAATGCAAATTGTTTTTATGTTTTGCTGCTGGACTTTCTTGTCCGCCGCGGTTCCTGAGTTCCACTTGCTACTTGCTGCAGTTCCCGATCTTGGGCTCTTCCAGGCCGGCGCCCTTCCTTGTCCGCCGCGGTCGGCTTCTGACACATCCAGAGTTTTCATGGACTTTCCTGGGTCCGAGCTGCGACTGGACTGACAGACGGACAGACAGACCGGTAATAAATTAGGCCCACAGGTTACTGAACCTAACGGACCTAGTGTAAGGACGGTCCCTACAGGACCTAGTGGATGGGACTATGATACATGGGACTCTGGGACTTCGGACCAGATCCGGGGCTTAGATGCTGAAACATGTGCAATCCTTTTCACTATTTGGGATGGACGTTTACGGACAGACTTATTGGCAACCATTTAGTGATTATGAATATCTCATCGCAGTAACTCGGTGGCAGTGCTAATGTTGGCATGGCTGATTAATCCTTTCTGAAGCTCTGCTTTTCCTTCTTTAAACAGATTATGAGAAATCATCCTTCGCCTGCAGCTCCTGGTCAATCAAAACCTGTCTCTTCTTTTCAGTGGCAATGACATAAGCGTTGCCATACCATCCATGTCTCTCATCGTGTGTTCCAAAATGCTGTTCTTGGGTCCTACTGCCCCTGTCATTTGCATCTGTCCATTTCCTTCATAGCTCTCTAAGTTATCTCTGACTTGCATTGCACGCACTGTCGTTGACAGGTCTCGAACAGTGGACTAATGGTTCAACTCATACCTGGTTCATGACTCTCCGTGTCACTTACTTCCTCCCAAAACTCAGGTACTAGAATCTGTAGTTTGTCTCTCATCTGCTCCTTCACAATGACTGCCAGTTATGCGATAGCTTGTGCCTTCTTACCATTTTGGAGTGTCGTGATCCTGGTGTCTGAAAGTCCGTCTGCCTCTTTCTCTGGTGCCTCATTTTGTAGAGTGCCTGTTCGCTTTCACTGTTGGAACCTCATGGGTTATGTCTTGCACTGCAGCGATCTTTCTGCCTTTGCACCAGCTTATCAAACGTCATTAACCGAATCACTGCAGGTTTTATAGGTCTTAGAACGTGCTCCTGGTCAGTTGCTGTGACTCTCTTGTTCCACTCTCTTGGCTTGCTCTGCGCTTATCTTGTCATATCTTTAGGTGTGAGGACAGTCCACTTTGGCTTGATGTCCTCTGGTTGTACTTGTTTTAGGGATGTTTCTTTGGTTCTTGTAACTTCGTTGTTCGTTTCATATCAAAGGGAGTTCCCTTTGTTATCTGCTCGGGCTAGCATTGGCGGGTCTCTGCACTTCCACCAGCATCATTAGCCTGTTTTTGCTTTCTGTGTCGTCTCCCCCGGTGCAGTTGTCAGCTCAATTCCTATCAAGCATGCTGTGAACAACCTTCTCAACTGCACAAACATGGCTCTGTGTTTCAAAAACTTACCAACTATAGTGACCTGATCTTGCTATAGTGACCTGATCTCGCTTTCTCTCCTGTGTTTGTCCTTGCCGCCATCTCTTCTTGGTTTCTCTGTTGTACTGAACAGTTCTTGTTGTGCCCTGTCTCATTCTCATGTACTCTGTCCATGTGTGTTTGTCCCTAACTAATACACTTGGCATTTGTTGCCTTTGCTCTGCAGCTACTCAAGAAGGCATCTGGACTTTCACTGATAAGCAATGCCTCTCCAACAGAGCATCTTCGTCTTGCACTTGAGCAGGTACAATCTCTTTCGTCAAGTGAGGACCTGTGGAAGTTCCCCTTGCATTGATGTACAAGCTCAAAGGGAAGCAAATAGAGGACTCTGGGGAGCCTTATGCCTGTTCGTAGTAATTTTGTCAAGTGGGAAAGCAACCGCGGAGAAAAAAAGTTGTGATGTGTCACTACGCTTTCGCGTAGTGAGTCTTCTGCCAAAGAATGACCATATTGCATGGAATTTGTTGCACTGAAGAAACGTAATGACACTCTGCAACGACATCTCTCTGCATCCACTGAGAGTAGGATGGTGGGTGAGTCGAACCGCTTGTTCTACCAGTCTGTCAAGTGCCAAATTGCTCTCACTGGTAGACTGAAGAGTGGCTCAGAATGAAGAGAATGTCTGCAATGAGTAAGAAGATCCTTAACTAATGGGGCAGGGGTGGGGAGATGGGGGGAACATGCTGGAGATCCCCCTTGAAGAACGCGGAGCTCGGTTAAAATTCTCAGGACCCTAAATGAACTTGCAACATTGGTGCTTATTGTCTCCGCAGTAGTGGAGGGCAGGTAGTGCATGGCAATCATGTAAAGTACTATCAAACAGATCTTCGCTGTCTGGTACTGTTAAGTGGGTTGACATGACAGGACTTTCTATCATCACCTGGACAGTTGGAAGTTCACAGGCCACTTGTGGCGTGGGCATCCAACAATTAGCGAATCACTGTTAGTGGGCTGCACAGCTGGGATATGCAAAAGTTGGGCACTTCAGAAATCTGCATCCATGAAGCGACTTGAGAAACTGCTGGAGTTACGCGTGCCATGAGGATTTAGGGGCAGAACTTTTCAAATTCCGGCGACTTGGTGCCTCACACCTTGGGCATTGCTTAGTGGCAAGCTGGTGTGCCCATGCCCTTCCCCAGACAATCAGCCGCCAACCCATACTCACGCCTACCGCGGTGCTGAGACATGTATGGGTATCCATGGCTGAGTGGGTGTGTAGAGTGGGTTTTATGGCTGTGACAGATTAGTTTTTCAGACCTACTGCTGTTCTTGTCTGGGGTTTAGATCAACAGTCTGCTAGGATTGCAGGGTCGGTGTGAGTTAAAGTCGACCACGTTTCTCAGGGGTATCGCTAACCCTTGGTGACGTGGTGAGTACTTATCATCAGTCAAATGCATCCTGAGTAGACTGTTGGGGTTCAACCTACTAATGAGTCGGTGAAAGTCCGGCGAAACAGTCTGGCACAGTCATGCTTTTTCTTGTGGAGTGGTGTATAGCGAACATGGTAACGAACACACACACACACATAGAATCAGGCTCGTACCAGCGAGCTATTCTTCTTTTGTGGTTGGATGTTCTGTTGGTTGTTTTGTTTGTTATATATGGCCTAATTCTTTGCCCTGCTTAGGTGGAGCATGGGCTGTTTCGTTGATGAAGGAATTTCGGTGGGTGGCCACTTCTTTCTTTCTGGGATGGAAATGCATGTGAGGAGTTTCGGCGTCTGCAGCTTCGCAAGGAGACTCACAGAGTGTCTGCTGTGGGTGTTATTCCCACAGGCTGCTCTTTTCAAGCACATAAAAGAAATGGGGGCTTCTAGGGTGTTTTAAGCAGTAGCGCTCCGCGTGGAGATCTCGTGGAGTTTGGGATTATGGCACTCTCTGCACTCCAGAAGCAAAGTGAAAAAGGGGGGTTGTCTAGGCATGGAGTGACAGAGATGATGGTGAGGTGAGTGGGTCGTTTGGGATGAATAGCAGTGTCAGTGCTGTTTTGCTTGTGCAATTAGTCTTGTGGCTTTGTGGACCGACTCAGAGGGCTCTCGGTTTTTTCAGACCATTGGTGGATGTGGTCAGTGCTTTCTTGTTGCGGGAGCCTTCTGTGTTGAGTATGTTGCCTTTTGCCCTCCATCCTTTTATGGACTATAATACCTCCATCCTTTTATGGACTACAATGTCCTCCATCCTTTTATGGACTAAAATATATACATATGTAATTGTGCAAGTGTGCCACTTCGGCGGCAGACGGTTGTGTGGGCACTGGCGCTTAACCACACAAACGTGGCCAACCTTGCATCTTTTACTATCTTGCCTATCTATACTTTTCTGTTTTATGGATGGTTTATGATGATTCCTGGATGGAATGAGAGAGAGAATTTGGGGTCTTAAACACACACAGACACACACGCACCTCTCTCTCTCTCTCTCTGTCTCTCTCTCTCTCTCTCCTTCTCCTCTTTTTGTAACCCCCTCCCCTTCTCTTCTCCCTCCCCTTGTGTACTCCCTGTCCATGTGTACGCCCTGTCCTTGTGTATTACTCAGCAACGCATGCGAATGATCGTCACCAAAGAACAGACAAAAATGATCGTCACCAAAGAACAGACAAAATACAAGTCACCCCTTTTACTCTCTACGACGGATATCATACATCAGTGGTTCAAGTGGGACTTCGTTATGGTATGATTTTGTTCATTGTGTCAGAAGTAATGTTTTTTGTAGCTTTTTTTTGGGCTTTCTTTGATTCAAGTCTGGCGCCTACCGTAGAAATTGGAGCTATTTGGCCTCCAAAAGGTATTGATGTGTTAGATCCTTGGGGAATCCCCTCTGCCTCCTTTTGTAACGTGCAAGTGGGCCGTTCAGACACACAGGGATGTGGGCAGCTGGCGCTTAACCATCATCAACGTGGCCAGTCTTGTATGTGAGAGGAACAGTCATAGGGTGATTGTAAGAACAAATAAACTGGGAGGCCTCCCAAGGATAGTAATGGTGAATATAGTCAAGGACATTATATAATTGGATCTAGTGTGTTTCGTATTGTCAACTCCCAACTAGAAATACGAGCATGCCTCCTGTCCGTTGTCTGTCTCGTTTGGTGCTGTGATTTCGTTATGTTATGAGTTGAAACTGACCTTAATTGAACTACCTATATCGCTTTTGACTTGTCTATATGACTGACCTGTTGGTTTTGTTTCAGAAGCTTATGTCCTGTGGTGGCTGTCACCATAAGGGCGCCGTTTCTTGCCCTTTCCTTCTGCGCAGTGAGTATAGTTAGCTCCCCACCCAAGGTGTGCCAGACTCAGGTGCGGAGTACTCCTACTCATCTCACCCTTGCAGGATGTTCTCCTTGACATGAACCTTGTACACAGAGTTCCAGGTGATGACCAAACACTCCTTCCTAACAGAATTGCTAGTCCTGCTGTGCCCGGCGTCTAGGGCGGTTGCCCAGAGCCTACTCACAGGTGGAGGCATTCTGTGTACTAGCCGAGCCATTGCTTGGGAGACTTTGTGGCAAGTGCCTCCTACAAGGGACGTCGGCAGCCTCCCCATGCTGAACCGACGGGCCTAAAACCCTGAACCGTGGCTTTACCCTTGTACTACACTCGCTCTTTCTACTTTGTGGACCATGTCTCACAAACCGTCCCTTTCTAAGAAGGCAGAATTTCCTGATTTTGAAAAATACCATACCTATGATGTCGACGATACAAGGTGAGAATCAGGAAAGGGACTTGAACGGGGATTCCTGTTCTAGTGATGCAGCATGAACCACACATCCTACTCATGATCCTCTCCGTGGTAACCCCCCTTGCTCTTCCTCTCATCACCGCTATGCACGACAGTGTAATAGAGTTGACTGGGTTGCACATCATGACTGGAACACTACTTTCTATGACGCGGGGCGCTGGTTTAAAAAGCGACTCCGCTACCTGGCAGCTGCAGCCCGGGCGGAACAAAGTGAACTGCAATTGCGAGGCATCGATCAGAGCCCCATTCAGCCAGGAACGGATGCTCTTTCAGCTCCTGGGGTTATTTATGCCATTATCCACATACCATCTGGTCGCACATATGTTGGGCAAACCACATACTCTGCTCACTATCGTTTGCAACAAGATTGGCATTCCCACTATTCATCTCAAACAACTCACTCCCGCCATTGTCATCTCCATGGCTAGGCAACCGCCATTTCATTTTATCGTCTGGCCCTCGGAGTGCATAGACCGTCACCTCTACTTAAATGCTGATGGTTCCGTTGATCCTGAACCATTTAAACACGCGGCTTCCTCTCGTGAAGGGTTTTGGGTTCGGCGCCTGACCACCTTATACCCCAGTGGCTTCAACAACGTCCTTCCACAAGGATGACTACCGCCTATCAGACGATCTCATCGTTCGAACAGGTGGATTCGTTGGGGAGGTAGTCCACATCCTCCTATGACTCGCCCCGCAGCAAAATTTCATGCAGACAGACCCTTCATGATTGATACTACTCCAGCTCCATTCTACACTGTCCGTTCAACCCTACATCGCATGCTTACACAAACAACCAACTCAGAATGGCAATCTGTATCTCGAGCCCTCTCCCGAGCCACCCCTTCCTGGCGCTCCCGCTTGCTGCAATGGTTGCAAACAAACGTCTCAAATTCGTCAACTGGAGTGCATGACCCATGGTCTGCAGTATTCACGGCAGCCATACTGCGGTTCTGCACATGATAGGGTTCCGTTCCTAAATTTCATTAAGGTCATGCACATGCATTAGGTTGCTCGCAGCACACAGTTATATAGCGTCCTTTGGCTTCTAGAGGTCGCTGAATTACATCCATGGCCTGCCCTTGCCAAGGAGATACGTAGCTGCGACAAGACCGTGCCACCCATACGTGTCCAGTACTCTAATTTTACAGAAGTGGCACTCAGCCTCTTCCAGACCCTGGCAATTGTCCTTGTTGACAAGTATTCCCACAATGTGTAGACACTATTGATGGTCACATAGCCACAGTGGACTACACCATTATACAAGATACACACTTGTGGGCCCTCTTCTTTGAAGGCTCCAAGTATTGCCTCAGTGCCGACACCACAGATGTGATGAAAGCATTGAAACTCGCTCTGGACTAGTACATTGCCAAATTTATAGCAACCATGAGATCAACAGGCAATAATGAGTCTCTGATTGCTGACAGTCCCTCTCAGCTTCGTAGATGGTGCCCAGCAGTTCTTTCAAGACGCTGACGGAATTTTACTGTGTCACCGTACCAAGCAC